GAGCCGCAGAAGAGCAGAAGGCAAAGGAGATGAAAGCGGCAGAGAAGAGGCTAGAGGAGATGAAAGCGAAAAAGCTAGAGGAGATGAAAGCAGCAGAGAAGAAGGCACAGGAGATGAGAGAAGCAAATGAGAAGGAGGCAGAGGAGATGAAAGCAGCAGAAGCGAAGGAGGCAGAGGAGATGAGAGCTGCAGAAAAGATGAAAGCAGAGGAGGAGAAGAAAGCAAAGGAGATGAGAGCTGCAAAAGAGAAGAAGGTAAAAGAGAAGAAGGGAGAGGAGATGCAAGTCGAAGAAAAGAAGAAGGCAGAGGAGATGAAAGCGCCAGAACAGAAGGCGCACGAGAAAGAGGCAGAGGGGCAAAAAAGCGACGATCAGGCTGGGGCCACTTTCACGAAGAGAATGTCATCGCTTGGATTGCTCCAACTAGTCCTTGATGACATGCCATGTGTTGTAAAAACACCTCGACATGCTGCCCCAGCATATGTGGAGAAACTGGCCCCTGTGTTGCGGCAAACCATTCTGGAAGACTTCTTTTCTTGGCAGGAGGCTGGCAGCAAGCTGAATCTTTCGGAGAAGCAGGCCCGAGACATCAATGAGGTCATGGCCCTGGCAATTCAACTGAGGGAGGCATCGCTGAAGCTCGGGGCTGATTCAAGCCCGGCGTTGAAGAAGTATGTCATGGGTCGCATTCGAGACGTGTGCACGACAAGTTCGCAAGACATGACAAAGAAGGATCCGCGCGAGGAGATTGAAGTTGACAGTGATCCAGAGAAGCCTCGTGCTCAGGGGGGGACCATACAAGGCCTGAAACCTGGACTCGTGACTCCGCGCTTCGATCGACGCATGGGTTCATTCCTAATCATACAAACTTTCCAGTTGGTTTGGGGCTCCGTTTTGGGGGCGAAGGGATTGATTGTCAATTTCATTGCCCCCCCCACATAGGACCGTATGTATAGATCCCTTCGCCCCCAAAACAGAGCCCCATGCAAAATTGACATTTATCACCTGATCATATCCTAGCACCTTATTTGGCCGGCAGGACACCAAGCCCTTGCTTGAAGAGCTGCCGGACTTGATCGAGGGCTTCGCTGACAAAGATGAGTTTGAAAGGATTTTGGAGGCGGGTGGTGGGCGGGCATGTGGTCTATATCCATTCCAGGAGTTGAGAGGAGACAAAACTTAGGTTGATATCGATCGATCTGTTGCGATGCAACAATTTTCTGGGCTCTCTCTGCCTCCCTCCTCTATTCGGCCTGCTGGAATTCCATAAATATAATATAATACAATACATATTTGACTATTTAAACTTTCAAGCGTCCTGGATTACTTCTGTTAACTTCTTCCACATCTTGCAATGAATGGTCAAGGAGGGCGTTAGGAAACCGCTTCAGACTTCTTTCTTGGCTCCAGGACCAAAAGCTTTTGAGGGCAAAGAGAAAGCGAGAGAAGAAAGAAGCAGAGGAAGCAGCAAAAGTCAAAGGACGAGGAAAGGGAGGAAAGGGGCGCAAAAAAGAAGCGCGCAGAAGATGACGCCGATTCTTTGCTGGAGGCGCTGGATGAGGAAGACAAAGACATGAAGAAGGAAAGGGAGGGAGAGAAAAGTGAGCATGATGGTGAACCTGAAAGAAAGGCGCCCCGAAAGAACAAAGGACGTGGACGTGGAAGGGGCAGAGGTCGAGGGGCCGCCTGCGAAGAGCAGACCAGGAAGACTGATCAGACTGGTGCAACACAGGAAAGTGCGGCAAAGATTCCAGAGACCAGTGAAGGCAAAGGCAAGAAAAAGCGTCGAGCAAACCGGCAGGAGGAGGCAGGGCCTCATTGTAGTACTTGCCGGACAATGTAATATATATTGTGAGCTAGAGTTGTGATGTTTAAAATTACGATTCCAACTATTCTGGCACCAGGACAGTCTGGACAGCGACGAAGAGAAGCCAAAAAGAGCAAGGAAGGCAACGCCAGCGCACCGCAATCCGGAGCGGGTTGCCTCAACGCTGAAATCACCACGTCGAGACTATATATACTATATCGATATCAACTTTTTCATGTAGTTGGGGTTCTCACTTGGGGGCATCAATTGGCCCAGCCCTTCCTTGACTTGACTGGTTCCAGGAGACCCGGCTCGCAACTGTCCAGCTCCTCAGGGACCTGGCAGTGGCTGGAAAGCAGTATGAGCTGCCGGACGAACAGAAGCTGGCGCATGGAGTGTGGTGGTCCTAGCTGCCCCTTTTGGGGGGCCACTTAGAGAGAGAGATACTCGTGCTAGGTCATGGACTCAACCGCCGCCCCCCTGGATTGGAGTATGGTCTTGGTATCTCTACAGTGTGGTTGCCTGAGTGCCCCTCACCGACACATGTCATGATCATTATGGCTGTAAACATTTTTTGAGTAGATGCACTGTACTAGGATCACGGGGAGCTTCTATGTCACTCATGTGGAGAAGACACACTTGGCTGAGTGTAACAAGAAGCTCAACAAGACCTTTCAGGCAGTTGGCCTTCCAATCGGGATGTATGCTGCACCATCAGTGTTGCAGGCAAACTGCAGGGACTACATTACCATTTCTTGGGGACCTCATGGCGGAATTTTGCGAGCGTGTGGGCCCAAAAAGAACGCATGTCGATTTGCAAGCTTGCATAGTGGCTAACTTTGGCTAAGCATGTGCTAGCTTATATTGTTTTAAAGGAAGTTTCCTTCCAATCTCCATGAGTGCAGTGGGTTTCTTTAAAGAAGCAAATATTTGAACAAGTCACCCAATATCCGCCCAAACAAAAAAAACAACCTTTTCCGCTGGATTGGCAAGCACCTCCGTTCCGCATGGCCCAGGTGGGATCTCGCACGGGTCCTGGCCCAATGGACGACGCTCGACGATTTGAAGGATTAGCCCAGGGTCGTGCTTCATTTTGAGAGGGGTGCAGCATGGCAGGACCATTACGTACTTTAATCGTACTTTACTTTAATCGATCGATCAATGCATGATCCAAACCTGAGATCCCTATATTGCATTTCCTATTTTCCAAAGTCAGGCCCAGTGTCATGCATCCCCAAGGGGTTCAGGCATGGCAATTGAACCATGCATTTCTTGAATGGAGCCTGGCCACCGGCCCGGCTGTGTGATCTTTCAACTGACGTGTAAAATGTAAAATTACATGCGCGCAAATGCTGTAATTCTTCAAGGGAGATTGAAACGCAAAAACCATGATGTGATATCAACATGTCGACACGTTCTTGCAATTCCACCCTGGCATCTGGCCGCCTGGATCAAGAAAGGCCCAGTGGAGGAGCGATCTTGCAAGCTGAGCAGGATGCCTGACTGGAGGCGCAGCCCGTTGGCCATGACGGCCTGCATGGCCGCCATGGCATTGGCCATGGGTTTGCCCCCATGTGTGCCAGACCCTCATATATGTTTTTGAACCTCAAGGGATTTGGGATCGATCGAACATCCTGATCCAAGTTGAATTTAGGCTGGACCTGTGCGATTACATCGCTGAGACAAGTGCTGGAACATACACCGGCAGAGCCCGGCCCTAAACTGCATTTTGTCTGGAACGGTCAATGGGCTTTCCCCTCTCCCAGGATCTCGTGGCCTTTGATGTCTTTTCTGGTGAAGGTTCTGTTCACAAAGGTTTCAGCTGGGATCCCAGGAAGAGGCCATGCAAAAGGCAA